CATTCTAATTATTTTATTAATATTTGCCGATTTATATTTTCATTTAATATTCGTTATTGCTCTGGTGGTAATATGGCAATTCAATATGAATTAAATTTTATTTCTTTTCGGTGAAATCCGATAAATTTTTTCGTTTATTGAAAATGACCTGTAACAAGTGTCGAAACGTCTAAAATTCGTTTAAAATGTTCTACCACTGTTATTTCATTCTAATTATTTTAATCATAAATTTCAAAAATACAAACTTGTTCGAACTATTTTAAATAAACGTGAATTCGGTTAATCTTTTTCTTAATCGTTCTAATTTATCAATCATATTTTGATCACTTCGATTAAAATCTTCTTTGTTTAACACTAATTGTAGGCCAGTTAATTTAGTAAGTTCACAAAGTTCTTTTATAAGTAGATGATATTTGTATTGGTCCACGTTGACCAACAAGTATCACATGTCGTATTCGATTTTTATGAAGTGTATCAAGTACTACAACATCAGTAACATGTGTTTTAGCTAAATCATCAATAGATGAAAACATGTATTTTGAGTACAATCAAGTTGTGATTGAAGTTGAATATTTTCTGACACATCTATTTGAAATTATTTTCTTTTTTTATACTGACTTAAAAATTATTTTGCTTGGTTTTCATTTTGCCATTGTATAATTCACAAAAAATCTTTAGTAAAAAACAAAAACGTTTTCTGATGTTATCTCATCAGCAATATTTAAATTACGTTCAATGGATGAGCTATAAGTAAATATTATAATAAAATTCTTGTAGTTCTTTCACATGTTCATGTTCAACTGTTTTTGTAAATATATGTAGAACATTTTTTACTTCAAAATGATCAGATACAACATCATCATCTCGAACAAGATAAAAAAATGGAGGTAATTTTTCAATAATATCAATTGTTGCTGGCATTGTGTGACGAAGTGTAAGTAAAGAATTAGATGGACCACTGCCTACGATACAAATGAGTATGAATGATGAAGGTACTATAGAGTTGCTAGTAACTATTGAAAGTGATCGTCGAATAAGACAATTTACAAAACAACGTCCATAAAAATGAATAAACATCCGATAAGATATTGAAGATAGTTCTACGTAGAATATAATATGAAGAATAATTTGTATAAAAGTTTTCAATGTCTTATTTGTAAATATTCTTTCGTAAGGTTAAATATTTATATTTAGAATAAATACTCATTCTCAAATTTCCTAGTAAAGTTCTTATAACTCTCGTTTATAGTTTACATAGTAAGAAAAAAAAATTCTTGAATATTTAAATTCGAAGAAAAATGAATGTAAAGTCACGAAACTGTCAAGATATTAAAGAACGATTTTTATTTTGCTCTACGAATGAGTCTTCTCTTATTTACAACATTAATTACGAGTATTAAAAAAAGTTTTTGCATTTAATTCTTCTGAAATATTTATATGCAATTAAAAATTAAAACATTTAAATTTTTAGTCTTTTGTCATTCTTCAATCTTATGAACATCTTCTCTATTAAAAATGTTGAACATATTTTCTTTTCACGCTGAATATACAACAATAATAGAGAAAAAAAGGCGCTATTTTATTTCTGAGTTTGTTGTTTTTTCCCTTCAATCATAGGTCACTCGCTTGTACTTAATTGTGAATCAGATGGTGTACATTTATCTTTTTTTTCTTTGAAATAGATAGATGAAAGATTAATATCTTCACCAGCAATTGCGATAGTTTCATTATTTGCTGTTGAAGAAGGTATTACAATTTGTGTAGTTGTTCTAGGTGGTATTCATAGTCAAAAACAAATATGATAATCAGAAAATAATTGTATCAAGACAAATACGTCGAGTATGTGTTGAGACTTTATCTTTCGATGAATTATGCTTTGTTAATTCATCCATAAATATATATTAATGATAGATTTTAATTAAAAAATTCAAAAGAAACAAATCAAATGAATTATTCATTTTCAAACAATAATCAGATGACGGATAACAAGCAAGTCTATCTAAGATTATTTTGGGTGTGGGTTAGGTGTGGTGTAGGTGTGGCTGTTAGAGCTCATCGGGTCCTAAAATTTTTGGACCCGAACCCGACCTGGACCCGGTGAATTTAATTTTTCCGGACCCGGACCCGGTCGATCAAGATTTTCAGACTCGAACCTGATAGATCATTTTTATGACAAGTCAATCACATTTTATGAGCCAAAAAATCTCATATTTTTTTATAAACAAATTAAGCTTTTTTGAATCAAACGATCGAAAATTTAAAGAAATTCATAAAATTTTATTATATGCATCAAAAGTTTTTTTGATCTGGTCCCAATGGGCAAAAAATTTCAGACCCGGACCCGGTCAAATATAATTTTCAGACCCGGACCTGATGGGCTCTAGTGGCTGTGGATGTGGGTTTGGATGAATGTGAGGGTCATCTTCTTATCTACACCTTCACCCACACCCACACCCACACTCTATGAATCAAAGTTAAATGACTCAAATAATATGTAGTAGGTTTACGTCAACTCGATCTAATACGTCGTGCCATTCTTGTGCAAATTCTTTTCAAAGCAGATCTTCTTGATATTTATGTAAGAAAAAAAATGCTATTATTTTATGTATAGAACTTCTTTTGAACTTTAGTCAAAATTTACTTATCAAACAAAATGTTCACAAGATCAAGTTTCAGTTGGAATAATTCATACACCAATTGATCAATTACCAACAAATTATTCATTATGAATTATTCTTTATGATCTATCAAAAGTAAATATTTAAATTAATTATTAAACACTAAAAAAAATTTTTCCTTTTTGTTTTTCTTTTTATTTAAATATAATTACCTAAAGATAATGAAGAACGTTATGATCAATGTCCATCTTATATGAAACTTGATAATGAAACAAAATCATGTTTTAATTGTGCAGAATTAACTTTTGGTGATATATCACTTATAATTAAACCAATAAGTTCATGTCAGTTTTTTTATGTAACTATTTTTTAGTTAATGATAAAGAATATCAATCAATATTCAGTCGTTCAACGATACGAAAAATATTTAGCTCACTAAATAGTCAATAGATTGATCGTAAAGGTCGTTTAAAAGTTCTCGAAGCAATACGTAGTCTTGGTGAACATATATGTATGAATTTTATTCTTCATCATCAAAATCCTCAACAATTAACAGATAATCTTCGGTCAGCTATTGGCTTACGAGATGATCAATTTCTCCCCATGGAGCAAAATATTGAAGAAAACGCACTGCGTAACGAGTTTCCAAGATTGTAACACGCGTTTCACAACGTTTTTCCAGTACAGGATGTGTTTCGCCGCATTTTTACTTAAATTGAATGCGTTTTGATACCGCCGTTTTTTGAAGCGATCCGAAACGCTTTTTTCGAGATTGCGTTTCGAAACGTTTCCGAATTCAAATGCTGTGGAACACACTTTGGTAGACAGGCGACGCGTTTCGGAGACATGAAGCGGAGAAAATGTGAAATAAGTTTCTTTTTTGAATGTGTTTTGGATTGTTTTTACTTGGGATGATACAAAATATATCTGTCTCGCATACATAATCTCGCAGTAATTCACGTTTACAAGGCATGTAAACTAAACAATGTTAAGTTTCTGGCATTATTTTGGAAATGATATGCAATTGCATTTGAAAATTTTACTCCTCGCACTGTTTTTGAGTATAAAAATCATATTCCAGGCTTTCTGAAGGGAGGATTAAAATTGAATTCTCCTACAAGTTTAGGCTGATGGGCCGTTATCTAAACCTGATTCAACGTCAGACTAATATTGAACATAACCGCATTACATAAATATGTTCTTCTTTCCTGATAACTTAATACTTTTTTTATTGAAAGAAAATGCGTTTCATAATGTTCACCCTAGAATTGTCTTAAATATTCAACAATTCGAAAATATTTGGTAAAGATTGATGCTAACATAATGAGTCTGAGAATTTTGTTTGATTATTTTTAAACAAAAGATTCTTCTATTATTTATAATTTGATTAATTATTCGTATGAATTCATATTTGGAGTACTTGATAGTGACTAACATGACTATGTACAATACTACTAAACATGATTTTAGTTCATACATTATTGATAATGGTGACCTGTTAAAAAAAGAGATTGAACTTCCAGAAGGAAATTCCTTTTCATTTAGTGATGTAAATGAGTAAAAGGATGACGAATTTACCTTTAAGATATTTATTAACTCCAGAAAATAGTTAAAAAGATTTACTTTTATATTTTTTAAAACTTAAATCTAACAGATTCAACATGTTTAAATATTAAATATAATTCAAATCAATTAAAATGGTTTCGATTAGGTATTTAGATTTAAATTTGAAAGAGTTAAAATAAAAAATATGTCAAGGAGAGATTAAACTTTAAATTGAGTATAGACACGAAGGAATTGCTAATTTTTAATTAAATGGAATGATAAACTGAAAATCTAATTAGGTTTACGCGAGACTCTGAATGACTATAGAATAAACACTTGCATCATTCGATTATTTTAGTTGAACGGTATGTACATATGTTTTCTACTCTTATGTTCTCATGTTCGAATCCACGTGTTGGCTGTATCAAAATTCATCTAAGTTATAGTTCTAAAGGTCTTTCAAAAAATGTAAATGAGTACATGAATGGTATCTGCAACCCAGCCTGCAAGAGGTACCTGACGGTTTTAATTTTTTTCCATCTAGAATATACGACACCACAGTTAGAGAAACGCTGCAAAACTTTTTCAGAAAACCAATCGTTCCACAGCGTTTG